AAAAAATTTGAGGTTATTTAAGACAGAGAAAGGTATACTTTCACCAAGTTTCGTCAAAATTAAATTATTTTTGCGGAAATGAGAAATATAAAACGAAAAATCAGAAAAAAACCTGTTTTTCGCATTTTTCTCGGAAATTTTAAGGTTATGTTAAAAAGTGACCTCTACAAAAGTTGTAGATTTTTGCATGATCTACAACTTTTGTATTGGATATTTTTTTGTTTGACGTCAACTTTCGCCAGAAATCCTAATGATACAATTTTTCATAACTTTTCAACCCCCCAAATCAACCCTCCGCCGGTTTATTATAAGCCCTTTTACCATTTCCACTTATAAAAGTTCAGGTAACATTTTTTTTCTCCAAGTGTAATTTGGTTGGACTATAAAGGACCTAAAATAAAAGAAACATTTATCTGCTGTATTTCTCAAAATAATATTTTAATTTTTATCATTTGTATGGAAACTTGTTATTGTCTACTTAAAGACATAAAATTCCGTTAATAAATTTTGGCTCTTTCACAATTAGTTATTGATGTAATTTTAAACATAAACTAAACAAGCAAGTCTTATATTATAGGCATACTAGTTTATTATCAATATTAATTTTCTGATAGGTAACTTATAAACATGACACATTTAACTTTGTATTTCAACAACTATAAATCCATTGCATGGTATTGAAATTATCTTAAAAAATAGTATTACGAGTGAATTTTAAGTAGCATGGGGGCTTTGATATTAAGCTAATTCAAATAAATTTAATTTTTTTTTCTAATAAAAAAGTTTAGATAAACTATTTTAGGCCAAGCTTAAAAGAATTTGGGTGACTGAAATAATTAAAAAATACATATGTGAAGAAATGTCCGCAACCGTTTTTTGTAAGATACAAAGCGCTGAAATTTGAAAATTTTACATTTTCTGAAATATCTCTCCAAAGATGCTTAAAATATCAGCTGTCACTAAGAACTCTAATAATTCGACACCACTGAATATTTTAGAAATTATATTTCTATTGGTGTTTCTAAGAAAAAGTATTTCTTTCATTTTATACAAAAAGCTAACCATTTTCGAGTAATTTATTTTTTAACATAAAACTGTTTAGCTAGAAGTGCAATTTTATTTATAATGTATTTAACAAAATTTCATTTTTTTGTGAAATAAGTAGTTCCAGAAAATTTTAAATTAATTGAAATGTTCCATAATTGTAACAGTACCTAAGGTAAATTACAAAATATAAGTGTGGAATATGAACGATCATTTTAAAAATTAAATTTCGTTCTCTTTTTAATACTTTATTACCTACTAAAAATTATTCATATTTGGGTTTAATAATGTTTTAATAGGGTCTAATCTTAATGTAGTATTTCATTTATATTCAATATAATTTTTTCTAATGCACAAAAGTCAATTCTTCTTCGAGATGCTTTTAAATTACATGGAAACTGAATATTATATCTGATATTTCCATCAAAAATTAACTGTTTTTGAACAAAAGTAAAAAACTAATCAACTCGGAGCAAGTTTTAAGGTTTATTTTACAAAGATGAAGTAAATACTTTCAGACCATTATCATTTGGTAAAACAAAAGCAAAGTGTAATAATTTGAAATATATTGGTCGATAAATGTTCAAAATGTAACCTTGGAAATACCTTTAACAATAACAACATTTTTATGTACATTCCAGATATTCGTAAAGAGGGTTCAAATAAACTAGAATTTACATTCATACAAAAGTAGGAAAATTCCCAAGAAATAAAAATCGACATGTTTTGGAGTTTTTCTCAAAACTTATTCCACACTCAATAATTTATACTTTTGTTACATAATGCGTAAGGCGTTCCATTTAAAATAAACCTTTTGTTGCACGGAAATATGTAGCTGATCATTGGGAAACATTTCTGAGAAAAATGTGAAAAGTGGAAATAAATAAGTCAGACTAAAAAAAAATTGTCATAGAGAAAAAGGGAACTGAAGAAGTAATGCGTATTAAATACTCATCTTGTATATTGTATCGGCTATGTATTTTAAATATGTATGTACAATTACGTTTTTCTTAGGAAATGTATGAATATAAAAAAATACTAGTAACATACAGGGTGTTAATGAACTCATGTCAAATATTTTTGCCACATATCAGTTACATATGTCAAAATGAGGTAAATACACGGATTTGTGTTAAGTAAAATGTAATTTTATAATCTGACTTACCTCAACATTGCAAAGAGCCACCTTTTGAGAACTGCTGATTTTCCATGTTCGATGTACCCACCATTTGCTTGCACACAAGCTTCAGCGCGACGTATCCAATTCGCTTGCACGTGTTGCAATATTGCCACGTCCTTTCGAATCGTATTACAACTTGTAATTTACAAGCTTCGGCAACAGATGTCGCAGTAGATCGATGTCACAAACTACCGTTGAATACATAACACTTTTCACATATCCCCACAAAAAGAAGTCTAAAGGGGTGAGGTCCGGGGATCGGGGGGTCATCTAACTAGGCTGCCGCGGCCTATACAGCGATCGGGAAAATTAACGTTTAAAAAGTCGCGCACTCTCCGAAAAATGTGAGTGGGGGCTCCGTCATGCAGTAACCGCATATTTTGCCGAATATTTAATGGCACATCTTCTTATAATAACTCGGGCAAGCGATTTTGCAAAGAATTTAGATATGAAGCACCGTCTAAGCGTCTAGGCAATTCAAAAGGTTCAATTAAAGTGTCATTAACGATACCGGTCCACATGTTCATTGAAAACTGTTGCTGAAAGGCACCGCGACGTACACCATTTCAACTGAAACATACTTCATCTGTAACAAGTATTTGCGCTATAAACTGAGGATTTCTTGCATGTTCCTGAAGCAACCATTCGCAAAAGCCTCAGCGTAGTGAAATCCTCAGGAGTAAGCACTTGACACACATTGAATATGAAATGGGTACAACTGATCTTCTCGTAATGTCCGCCGCACAACAGTATGCGAAATATTTACTTGCTATGCGATATTTCTGGTGCTACGATGAGGATCTTCTTCGACGAGATCTAAAATCATCTCGACAATTAAGATTCTTAGTGGTCGCCCTGGGCCACTGTCGCGACCTCGACGCGGTTGTATTTCACCGGTGTCCAAAACTCTTTGTGCCACAGCAACAAATGTTCGCGGTGTGGGGACACGTTGTTCAGGATAACTTGCACGGTACACTTAATAAGCTCTGCGGGCATTTTCGTTTACTTCGCCATAAATTATGAGCATATCACAATATTCGCGGTTGCTAAATAAATGCGCCATTTTCAAAAAGAACTTGGAAATACGGCTATTAAATGTACTCTCGAACAGCACAGCAATCACTACAACAATGTATTACAAACTGACTCTCGAATACAGTCCGACTTCATAAGAAACCTACAAACTCGTAAAAAGTGTTACAGAATTTTTTGTAAGTATGTACTCGCCATGATAAGATATTTGTGTACATGTATTTCCACATTTCCAAAACAGTTTTAAACACATTTTTAATTAGCTTTTTTTCTCTATGAACTTCTGATACAAGTTTGTAACACCAGTTAGAGTAGTTTCAAAATCTCATGAGCCGCGACATGCGCGAAAGGCGTGGCGTATCCACATAATTCTTCTAATAAGCACGTTGTAAAAACATCGACTCAGAATTAGACTACGTGCCTCATTACAACCAGAAATGAACTAAGGCTCTCGGGCATCAATAAAGTCAACTGGCGAACGTTCGTTATATATATTTTTATTGTTTAAANCTCATTACAACCAGAAATGAACTAAGGCGCTCGGGCATCAATAAAGTCAACTGGCGAAAGTTCGTTATATATATTTTTATTGCTTAAATTAAAATAATAAAGAATAGAGAATTTAATTATGATATTTGTAATCGGATCAAAGGCTTGTTTACGCTACGAGAGCTCGAGATAGACTGTGAATAATGGACGTAATGTTTTTAGGGCGCAGAATAATTTAGGCGACGGTCGGAATTATGTTTCTGCGCATATCAAGGTCAAAGCTCATAAGATTTTGAAACAACTCTAACTCAGTTTTTGCTCCTTTTTCACCCCTTCAAATTTTTGACATAAGTTCATTAACACCCTGTATTATATTAACTATCCAAGTGGTAGTTTTACAATTGTTTAATTGCAATACAGATTTCCCACTTTTCTGTTATCGCTGATTACTACAAAATTTTTACTAATGTTTTAGGTTCCATAAATTTAATATGTGTACCTGTAGGCTGTGTGATGTCGGGGGCAATAACACAACCATTAGGAAGAAAAAGAGCAATGCAATTGGTCAACATTCCATTTTTAACTGCTTGGCTGTTATTTCACTTTTCTGAGGAACCCTGGCAAATTTTTTTAGCCCTCAGTATTACTGGAGTCAGTGGAGGACTGCTGGAGGCACCTGTAGGTATAAACTTATTAAGTATATATTATTAAAAATATTTAATATTTCCTTTCTTTGGTCTATTAATTGTTATTTGAATCAAAAACACAAATAAATAAAAAATCTAACGCATTGACTTTAAAACCTCATCTGCCATTATTTGGTGAGTTACTTTTTCTGACAGCACTAACATTAGTTAACTCCTATAATGTAATGATTTGTCCAAATATGGCTATATGATTTATTTATTAATGCCATTCATTCTAATTATAATCTAATGAAAAGCCAGGGCGATAAAAAAGTGCAAAAAAGCCAATAATACTTCAAAAAATAAGAAAAAAGTTCATATGAGCATATGTCCGAAAATGCTTCGCTTCCGAGAAACAAGGTGTTGCAAACAGGATACACCGTTTTCGATAAAATCGCGAAATGGTATTTTAAAACCCAGGCCAGGAAAATAAGCTAGGAAAAGACCATTTCGCGACTTTTTGTTTCGGCAAGCTGAATTTATCACTATAGATGCTAAATATTATGTACAATAACATATTAGTTTCCACAGTCATAAAAATGGGGGGAAGATTGTTTACAGGGTGGTTAATTATATAATGTTTACGTAAATTCCCGTTTTTCGCTTATAACTTTTTTCCGTTCATTTCCAAGAGAAATCAGTAAAGAATTTTTTTTGTCTTCAAAAGACCTACAAAACCAGCCCTCGAGCGTTAAAAAATATTGATTAGATCAAAAATTATAAACAGAAGAACAACAACTGACACAGTTGACGGCCTATTGTTAAACAAATTAGGGTGGTAGCGGCAAAAAAAATACTGTCATAACCGGCAGCCTCAGTACTTTCACTGGTAAAAATATTTTATTTGTGGAAGTATGTTAAGTGCATAAGAAATATTGTCAAAAGTCAGTGGGTCGCTTGATTTTCGGCGAGCCGTGGCGCGGTGGAAGGGTGGGGGAAGCGAACGACAGCGAGTCCGAAGAAAATGACGATAATATTCATAGTCCTGCCGTTAAATAAGGGAAATTCGCTTGAAAATAATATATTTGACAGTCTGTAACTCCGTTGTTTTTCAACGAATCTTGACGATTTTTTTTTAACTTAAAGCTCTTTTCATAAGCTTTCCGAATATGTAATAATATATAACTATATCACGCTCGTGCGTCGTATATTTCATTTTGCAACTAAGGCTAAAAAATAAAAAAAATTCCAGGTTGCAAATTTGAAATTAAAAAAAAAATAGATTTCAATGTATTATTATGAAATCTACCATGAAAAAAATCAGTGCGATTGTGGAAGATCCTCGGGATCGTCCAGACTAATAATTAGTTAATTTGTTTATAAGGCCATAACTTGTAAACTATTCAACTTACCGATTCCAGATTTCGTGTGAGTTATTAGACAGTGATAAGGAATGAGAGGATGCGATGCCAAAACGTTCTGGTAATAATAACGCAGTTTATAAATGTTTAATTCAAAAGTCATAAATAAACTTCTTCTGTTTATAACTTTTGATCTAATCAATATTTTTTGACGCTCGAGGGCTAGTTTTGTAGGTCTTTTGAAGACGAAAAAAAAGTACTTTACTGTTTTCTCGTGGAAATGAACGGAAAAAAGTTATAAGCGAAAAACGTGAATTTACGCAAAAATTATACAATTAACCACCCTGTAAACAATCTTCTCCCCATTTTTATAACTGTGGAAACTAATATGTTATTGTACATAATATTTAGCATCTATAGTCATAAATTCAGCTTGCCGAAATAAAAAGTCGCGTCCAACTCTATATTTCCTGGACTACTAGACGATATGAACATAGTCACACAAATTATCAGTAGACCCAGGAGCAGCCCTCCATAAGAACTGCAAAGTTGTAGAAGCACCAAATTTATAATAGAGATGAAGCAGAAGGAGACAACTAAATTTAAATTTCGGTGTAATGAATATTAAATTATTACCTGTTATTTACGAAAAATACGAGTGCATATAGCTCTTACATGTTTTTATTTATTTTTTAGGTATTAAGTAAACAAATTTGAAAATAAAATGCAATCATTCAGAGAAACATCCTACATTCTTGCTTTCACCTTTGACAAAGTTTGATCACGTAAAAAACAGCTGCTACAAGAAGATCTTTTTGTTTCCATATTTTACTTGGGATTCTTTCATCAGACAGCTTCCCTTCTCGTTATAAACATTAACATAAAAAAATATCTATAAATTAAAATTGAAAAAGGAAAAGAATGAAATGAATAACATTTTTTAAAAAACGATGTTTGTCAAATGATTTACATGACTATACGGATTAGGTATAATTGTTTTTAATATAAAAATTTTTCTTATTTGCCCTTTTTACTAAGTTTCATAAATACACACACAGGGTGTTTCTTGAGTAGAAGTCAAAACTCTAGGACATATTCTATGGCCAAATATAAATGTGGGGTCTTAGAACAGTCAATTGTCCAGCTCCAGTGTGTCAAAAATTAAGAAAAAAAAATCAGCAAACAAATTTTTTATGTTATTCATAGAATGAAAAAATATATCAAGTCGATCTTCATACTGTTGATAATTGAAAATAATTTTATATAGAGAAGATGCTATTAGTAAATTGGTACGAAGTGTCGGTAACTGTAAAGCGGAGTGAAATCTAGAATTAAGTCTAGGAACACGACATAAAATCCTTGAAACTAAGGAGTCTGCATTTAAAGTGTTATTTATATTTATAAAAGGAAAATAATTGAAAACATAATTATCCTATGACAGAGACTATTAGAATTAAAACAAGAAAGCAATACTTCTTGAGGTGTATCACGAGGAGGATAAAATCCATAATTAATAAAATGAATAGTCTTTAAAAATCTCCGTTGTAAAATATATTCGGAATAGTGATTTAACTTCATCAACTGTGAAGAGGTTAATTGAATTATTCAGGGAGACTGGAGCAATTAGTGATCTTCAACACTTTGGCCGTCCTTCAACAAGCCGTTCAATACAAAACTTCGAAGCATTTCGTGAGGGTGAAAGTCCAGAAACATCAATTTAGCACCATGATCAAGAATAGAACATTTCTAGGGACACATTTGCATCTTCATGCTTATAAAATTCAATTGACTCAAGAACTGAAGCCTACTGACAGCGCAGAGCGAAGAGAGTTTGTCGAATGGATTATGGGACAAGTGAATGCTGGTTTTAATAACAAAATCATCTTCAGCGATGAGGCTCATTTTCATCTTGATGGCTTCGTTAATCGACAAAATTGTCGCATTTGAAAATCCACGAGTGATTATTGAGAAACAAAACCAACCATAACGTGTCAGTGTTTGGTGCAGATTTTGGATTGGAGGGATCATCGGACCTGATTTTTCAGAAATGCGGTTGATAAGGGCATGATAATCCAGTTTTCTGTGCCTAAATTGCAAGATATTAATGTAGACGACACGTGGGTTCAATATGCCATACAGCATGAGAAACAATTCAATTACTGCGTGAATCTTTTCCTGGTCGTGTATTTTCTCGTTTCGCTGATCAGAATTGACCGCCCAAATCATGCGATTTAACGCCGCACTATGAACGATTGGAACTACTTTAGTGTCAAAATCATAGAACTTTGGATAGAAAAAAGAAAAAAGAAAAAGAAAGAAAAAAATCTTTATTAGGCTGCTCTCAGGGAACGTTTAAACCTCGGTTTTCTCAATTTTTTTCGATTTTTTCGAATGCTACTATTTTTCCTCACCTAACTATTAAAAAATACAATTTTTTTCAGAAAGTAGATTAAAAAATCTTCAATTTCCATTTTGGTAAAATTTATTTGATCTTGAGTTTGGCATTCGAAAAGTTCAGTGTTCATAAATTTAGTTTCTAACAGTGTTATATCAAATTAATTTGTCCGTTTTCATTCAAGTTCATTTAAAAACATATTTTTATTAAAGTACACATTAAATGCTGGATAATTTATAAAAGTTTTAGACTGAAATACACAAATGTTTGGTGTTTAAAAATTTTTTTGGATTTCACTTAATTTTTACTTAAAAGGCAAGTCGCAAAAAATTTAAATATTTCGTTACAGTCGCGGATATTTATCCTGAGATTGAAGCATGAATATGTTTTTATGTAGGGGTAATAGTTTCAGACAAAAGATAACCTGACCTTACCTCATAATCGAGTTCAAAATCTTTTTCTCTGAAATAACTGATTTAATGTATGATATAAATTATAAACTAGTTTTCTTCATACCGATTTGGATATAAGGATATTACATTTGGGTTAAATCACTTTATAAATAAATAATGGCTATATTGGGGAAAATGTATATTTCTGAGTATATTATTTTTATTTTTCTAATTTTGAGAATAGGTAGGATCATCCAATCTGCATGAATGCATTTTCTACTCGAAGTCATACTTGAGCTACAATTACCGTTCAATTAGAGACATTAAATTACGCTGAAAAATGAAGTCCCGTATAATTTAATTTATCACACAAACAAGAAAAAGAGTTCCATGGAAAGTTTAAAATTTATATCATACATTAAATCAGTAATTTCAGAGAAAAAGATTTTAAACTCGATTATGAAGTAAGGTCAGGTTATCTTTTCTCTAAAACTATTACCCCTACATAAAAACATATTCATGCTTCAATCTCGGGATAAATATCCGTTGCTATAACAAAATATTTAAATTTTTTGAGACTTACCTTTTAAGTAAATATTAAGTGAAGTCCAGAAAAATCTTAAAAAACCAAACATTTCAATACCAAAACAAACAAAATACCAAAGAATATTTCAGTCTAAAACTTTAATAAATTATGCAACATTTAAAGTATACTTTAATAAAAATATTTTTTTTTAAATGAACTTGAATGACAACGGACAACTTTAATTTGATATAACACCGTTAGAAACTAATTTATGAACAAAACTTTTCGAATGCCAATCACTCAAGATATGATAGATCAAAATAAATTTTACCAAAATGGAGATTGAAGATTTTTTTAACTACTTTCTGAAAAAAATTG